AAGGAAACATTTTCTTTCGATACCAAGACTATACTACAGCATCTGATTAGAGAAAATAATGTAAAATGTTGTAGACTAAACAAAAAAAGCATACTAGAAATTAGTATTGATTGCATTGCAAAGTTACTGCAGGGTATTTTTTTCTTTTACAGAATTTTTGAACTTAAGAAAAATGGTGTGAAGCTGTCATAGATTTTGCAACTTGTTTTTGAAAAACATTAGGCTGCTCAAGTGTGTACCAGGTATTCCAGATGCTGCTGATCTCCATGTGAAATCTGTGAAGTATTTTCTACCATACACTCCAATTTCTCATCAATTAGTAATGAAATTTGTGCTTTGCAAACTGATTTGTGTTTTGCCATGCTTTATGCAATTTGGTTTCAAGCTTCTTAAGCTTGGAGTACTGTTGAGGAAACAAATGATGCTTGGGAGATGATGCAGTGAAAGCTGGGAATGTTTTTTCTGCAATGAATTCCACTCATGAAATTACTGAAATTCTACTTTACTGTGATAGCTTGCAATTTTGATGACTGAAGTGTTGCTTTTTTAGAAGCCTGAGTAAAAACTCCCATTGCTAATTGAGCCGCTGATGGCTCGTGGTGGAGATGGCTGGCTAATTCTCTGCTTGTATTTTCTCAGTAATTCAGATTATCAGGAAGCATTTTGTATGTGATTTTAATCAATCTGTTTTAAATGACTTCAGCAGCCTACGATGCTTCTTCCAGTTGTTTCTAATGAACATGTTACTGTGCCATATCTGCTATAGTTATTGTATGTGGCTCTCATCTGATAAATTTTTTTGCATTGTGCACAATGTTAATATGCATTTCTTACATTTATAATTACAGTTCCAAGTAGGGCTTTTGTGCTCCTTACTGAGTAGGGCTTTTGTGTTCCTTACTGTGCCAGAAGTAACTGAGTCTGGCTGGCAGTGACTGCTGAACTCCCATGCAGTCATTCAGGATTTGCAGTTTTAATGAATTTTGGAAAGGGAACTGTCAAGCCTAATCATATTTTTCTAGAACTGAATTTTTAAACATCACCAAAACATAATACAATCTTAGCCTCTAGAAAGTGTCATTTTTGCTTTGTGGAAGTTGCTTAAGCAAAGCAGATTTAATTTTACTATATGGAATTTGGTTGCTAAAGCAATTAGGTTTGCTGTGCGCACCAGCCAGAGTTCCCTGGGTGAAAGCTCAAGCCACCTGATAGCATTTCCCTTCTGTTTCTGTCCATGCCGGTCTTTGTTTTATTTTAGCATCTGCCTTGCACACCAAGGTGATTACTTTCCTATATGTTTGTTCTTTAATGGAGCTTTTTGGGTCTCTGCTTTGCTGAGTAGTACGTTCAGCATTTGTGATGGTTAGAGGAATGATAGCAGCCTGACTCTGCTAAGGACTCAGCATGAAGGGTGCTTGCTTATTTTGTATAATACAGTATTCCACAGAATAGATGTAGCTAGCAAGACAATAGCTAATTTTTGTCCTTAATTTCTCTGTTCTGACCTTGCATAGGAAATTGTTTGCTTTTCATGATTACCTTGCATTGAAGTTCTTCTGTAACACTGAATGGTGTTGGGAGCAGGTAAAACGCACCCTCTCAGTAGCTGTACTTCAGTTGGCAGTTTGTACAAACCTTCTCTGTAGTGCAAAAACTCAATAGTAAATGTGGTCTGTGAAAACATTCTCCACAGCCATATTGGTCAGAGTTACTGCATAACTTTGGCAGAAGACAGTCATAAATGAATTTTATTTGGAAACATCTGTTTATCACTTGACAACATGGAGGTTCCCTGCTAGATATGAGCAGTTCAAAGAGGACAGAGCTATGATTTAACTGTCAAACTTTTAGCAACCAATCTCTATTCCACAGATACTTGTGTACGTCTGAGGGTTGCACAGGCTGCTAATGCAAAGTCCTAAAGCAGGATTCTGTTAAGTGCAAATATTCTTCTGTGTATTTTATACATGACTCTGGAAAACCAGTATTGTTGAATGTCTGTAAATTCTCCCCCTTGTATAAGAACTAGTAGAATAAAATATATGCTTTTTCTGATTTCCTAGACGATCCACAACTTGTAGAGAAAAGACTTGGCATACCAGCCTTCCTTTACTGATGTTGTTGTAGGGTTTTTAAAATTATGAAAGAAACCCTTAGAAAGAAAAGGCAAGTAAACTGTTCCTGTACTCATTTGTCGTAAGACTTCTGATGTCATGCTTGTTGGTTAGAATAATTCTACCTGTTCCTATTATCTGCTTCTGCTTAATTAGTATTTTTAACCTCAGCTATAGCATATCTTGGTTTGAGGGCTGAGCTAATGCTTTACCAGTGTCATGTTTTACATTTGAATTCTGTAGAGAGGAGCTTCAGAACTGATCTGAAAGTTGTTTGGTTTTTTTCCCTTTTGTGGCGATGAAAACAAATAAAATGCTCATTTCATTTGTTGCATTTGGCAGTAGCGTTTTTCTATGAATTGTTGCAGATAAGGCTTTGTGGTATCTGAGGTAGGCTTCAAAAGGCAGAGACAAAGCGGGCTCAGAATTGGAGGGGTTAACCTGTTATCACAGTCCTTTGAATAAGGGAAGCTATTCTGACATTCCAGACTGGCAGCATCCCTTTGCTTTTACAGATTACTAATTAGATATGTTTGGAGGACTTGGTTTGGTATTTTGGCCAAGTTGAACTTAAGGTTGCCTGATAAATGAGATCTCAAATGAGATTTCTTTTCAGTTACATGGGTGTGATTACTTTCCTTGTACTCTTAATTCCTCGTTACAGAGACGTGAAATTTTCTGGGATATAAAAATTATTTTCTACTTGAAGTGCTCCTGAAACTCTTACTTTTTGATATCTTCTTCTCAAATATGGCTATTAGTGAGACCGGGGGGGGGGGGGGAACCCTGACACCCTAATGTTTGTTTCTTTCTTAACTGGCTTAGCTCAGATCTTAGAGACTGAAAGTGAGCCGTTGTTATTACAGGCCACTCTTATGTCTCACTCCTTCAAGAATTTGTATGCCCTTGATATCTTGCATGGAAAGTGAACATGGAAACAATATTACTGTTTCCACTATATGTTTCCACTATAGCATATTACTTACATTTACCTCAGATTGTATTTTTGTTTCTCTGGTCTTCAGAGCTTATTGCTAAATGAAAGGGGTTTAAAAACTTCTCATTTTGTGTAGATGCGTAAGTTTTTGTTGTTATTTCTCCATTTAACCTCAAAACATACTCTCTCTTAGGTAGCTAATGATTTTAGATTTGATGGAATATTGTTCATTTGGCTGCCTGGGTGTCATTGTGTGAACTTCTTGTCTGCCTTTCCCTGATGTTCAGAAATCCTGTTTTGGCCCAGTGCTTTATATTAACTGCTCCTGAACACTAACTTTGTGACTCCATTTTCCAAAGGTTGTTCCTTTTAAATTGGGCACTAAGAGAAGGTTTTACAGGCCCCAGCTTACCGTGCGGTACTTGCAGCGTTAGCCCCTGTGCTGTACATCTTTCAATGGGCTTTTCTTTGTTGCTTGATTTTCTTCTTTATTCTGAATAAGAAAACGTTGAACATTAAAAACACTTTTGCATGTCAGTGCAGGATACCTAAACATCATTAGAAGACCCAAAAAGATTTTTCACGGTTGAAAAATACTTCTCTCTATGTGCTCTTCAGATTTTTTTTAGAAAATCTTAGTAATAGTTGTAGTAGCTGGGTGAGAAACAAGTGAAGAAAACTGCTTTGCTGTTGCTGTATGTAGCTGCATACCATTAATGAAAATGAAAAGCTGCACATACTTAGAATTGCAAGCTGGCAGTGGTTTGTGTAGGAGTGTCTGTTGCTGCTCCTCCAAAGCTGCACTAATGATATTTAATTTTCAACTTAATTACAACAGAAGGAGCCTTCCCTTCCTCCTCCAAATGCAAACATTTGGTATAGGAGAGGATTTCTTTTCATCTTGGTCCTTCCAGTGGTTTTATGTAATGCACCTTCTGGGATGTTTGTGCTATATCCTTTCACTTGATAAATAATAACACACACAAAAAAAAAAAGCTTGAAAAATCAAATGTAATTGTAACTTTTTGCAAATTTTATTACCTTTTAATTGGGCTTACTGAGAATATTTCTGTGGCTATGTGATACAGAGAGCAGGAAGAAAAAGTGTAAGGCACAGGTATGTGCGATATTTAAGAGCTGTATGGTTGCATTTTTTCAAACACTGAAGTTTTTAGCTTGAATCAGCTGAAATGAGAAACTGTACAAGGGTGGTAAGGCTGGACTTGGAGTGTAGTGGAATGCCACTATGTGCCTTTGAAAATCAATTACTGTACACTGCCAAATAAATATGTGTGCATGCACAGATGAGGATTTCTGCTCTTGTATTTGATATGAATTTCCTGCTATAGAAAGCATTAAGAGTAGCTGCTAACATAACTCATGCTAAGACTTTATCACTACTTGGAATTGTGTAAGTGCAGTTCCAGTCTGCTTTAGATGGTATCTTTTGGAAGAACTCTGTGCCAGACCTGTCTTCTCTGAAACCTGAGAGGCAGGGTTTACAAGGAAATGCTTCAATTTGTGAGCAATAAATGGAAGTATTTTTTACATGTTTATAAATCCTCTTGTGAGCATTTTGTTTACAACAAATTATTTGTATTTAGTGCTTGTACTACCATAGTTCATTGGAATTTTTAAGAGTGAAGGATGCATTAGTGAGAATTTTCAGAAGACTGCTAATTTGCAGTTGTACAGAATAATCCAGTTCTTTGATGTGGAATTGTACAAAATTTTAGCATGAGTTTGAACCACTAATTCTGTAATACCAGCATATGAAAATTTCTAAAACAGATGAATCAGATCTGTGAGGTTCTGTAGTTCTTAGTAAGGGAAGAAGTATGATGTGGAGAGGAAGTTTGTGTTCTCATGCTTGGAGCACTAAAGAACTGTCTTAGGTATTTGTTATTAATGCAGATATTTACTAACTTTTTTTGAATGTCTTTCTTTAGATTTTCATCGTGGATGCTTCTTCAGCTGCCCTGTGATGGAAGGGATGTATTTCTGAAGTTATAATGGATTTTACACAGCAGCATAACGAAAACTGGCCTAATAGCAGCATTTCTATTTGAAGAGAATAGGCCTAATTGCACATAACCATGACAACTTCTCATATGAACGGACACATCACAGAAGATTCTGATAGTGAAGCAAAAAATGTGGATCTTGCATCTCCTGAGGAACCTCAGAAGCACCGAGAAATGGCTGTTGATTGCCCTGGAGATTTGGGCTCCAGGATGATGCCCATGCGGCGGAGTGCTCAGCTGGAGCGAATCCGGCAGCAGCAGGAGGACATAAGGCGCAGAAGGGAGGAAGAGGGAAAGAAACAGGAATTGGACCTTACTGCTTCCATGAGGCTTAAGAAATTAGCACAGATTCCTCCAAAAACTGGAATAGACAATCCAATATTCGACACAGAAGAAGGGATTATTTTGGAGAGTCCTCATTATACTGTGAAGACACTAGGTAGGTGTTGGTGGAAATTATGAACAGGTTAATGAAAGAAAAAAAAAAGATTTGAATATTTATGTTCTTCTTTGTCACTGAAAATGTGATTTAGATAATTCTTCCTACTGTAAGTCTCAAGACTTCTGATCCTTTGGATTTATGATTTTCTTCATTTAGCCAAGCTTAAGTATGTGCCCCCAGCAAGATCTTCCCAAAACTAATCCTTCGGGGGGACACTTAAACAAATTGCAGAGTACTGTTGGGTTCATTGAATTTCTCCATCTCTGTAGGGTGGGGAAAACCATGTATCTGCTGCCAGATTTTATTAAGTTTGATGAAGCACGTATCAGAGTAAGCGATGTCATATAAAATAAAATGCTAAACAAGATGCTAGGGCTTTTAATACTTTGTGGTGAATCATGTCTGTTTTTTCTTATTCTGGTTGTCTTGTGTTTTCAGTTGTCACCTAATATCATTTGCATTTTTCCTTAAACTGTTGGCCTTGACAATGAAGGGCTGCTTACTTTGACTGCTGATCTAAAGATTTTTATATAAATATTCTAAAGCTAGTAATTTTTGTAGAAGTGCATTATGAAAGCCTTCACTTCGTAGCTTTTGTTGCTTTAACTGCACTTCTATAGGAAATACTTCTAACCTTTCTTCTGCAAATACAAGCATCTAGTCATCTAAAGTGAGGTGTTGTCACTGGAGTGAAAATAAGGCATTGCAAACATCCCAACTTCTGGGAGTTTTAACTTCTAAATCCTTACCTGTTTTAAGATCCTTACCTGCTTTAAATGATATCTTTATTTTTAAATACATGTCTAAAGACACACAGCAGAAATATTCACTAGTTTGTTGAGTGTGCATAGTCTGTTCTTTGAGCTAGAAAGGCTGGGACCTTTTGAAGATGCAGTAATGTAATTAGACTAATTTATGATACATCTATATATGTGACAAGATGACAGGAAATGGCTTTAAGCTGGAAGAGGGTTATTTAGACTAGATATTAGGAAGTAATTCTTTACTGTGAGAATGGTGAGATGCTGAAACAGGTTGTCCAGTGAGGTTGTAGATACCCCTCCCTGGAAGTACTGAAGGCCAGGCTGATGGGGCTTTGAGCAACCTGGTATAGAGGAGGTGTCCTTGCCTATAGCAGGGGGTTGGAACTAGATGATCTTAAAGGTCCCTTCCAACCCAGACCACTCTGTGACTGTATGATTCTATGCACCAGGGTGTTCAATTAGGGCTTTTCAGTCGAGTAGAAACTTGACGTAATATTGACAGTCATGTTTGACAGGGAAATAAAGGCAATATAGTAATAATTTGGATCAAGCAGACTGAGATTTAGGAGGTGAGGATTTATTATTGTTTTGCACTCCTGAAAGTGGGCATTGGATTGCAATCAGCCGTCGCCTTGAATCGCTGAACGCTTTAAGGAAGAAAATGTAGCTGAAGTGCTATAATCTTGTAACCTGTGTAGTCCTTAAAAAAAAAAACTGTTTCAGCTCTGAGTGCAGTAAAACTGAGTCAGAATTTTAAATTTTACAAGGCACTTCTCCAGGTAACTTGACCTCTTCTAATTTTTTTCCTCTACTCTCAAGCACACCATTTTTTTCCAGTTTCTGGATTAACTGTTATAAGATCTGACACTCCTGAATTTGCAATGAAGCTGCTTATTCCTGACTCTCACCAAGGGCTGGTGAAGTTATCTTATGAATGCACATACATATAAAATACAGAATATCATGAAAAAAGCTGGAGTCCATTTTATTTAGTATTTCTACTTTTTAATGTTTTGGAGAGGCTGGAATTCTTGAAGTTAATATGTTCAACTTCTTGATCTCTAAAAAACTTGCTGGCCCATGACCTAGTCAAAAAAACAAAACAAAACTTGTAGCATGTGAAATGCTTTGTATTTAGTTTGAATTTCTGAAGCTTGCTGCTTCTGACTACTGAATTTTCACCTTGGATGTATTTTCAAGCTTTATTAGCAAGACTCTTAACCAGCGCTAGTGAATTACAAAGTTGTTAAACTACTATTATCATTACATTTTAAAAAATGGATTTTGGCTTTGCTTTATTTGTTAAGCCATAGAATTGCTGCTAAAACATAGGGCTGATGCATATTGTCTACATTTTTAGTTTTGAAAACAGCATTCCATACATGCTAATATCTCATTTGGTATTTCGTTGCCGAGCCTTCAATCTTCTCATCATAACAATTAAAAAATCAAGCGGATTGGATTTTGTTTATAAAGATAAAACAGCACACTTAATTAAACCAGTTTTAAAGGGCATGTTTATTATCAAAACAGGACATGATTTAGACAGCTGACAGAGTGGAAATACCTTTCTGAGCACCTAGAACATGTTAATTACTGAAGTGTTTAACAAGCTTGCTCATAGCTATGTATTTCTCTTAAATGCAGAAAATATTTTTTACAATGCAGCTTATTCTAATTAAATAAGTAGCTGACATTTTATGTAAGAAACCTTTTGTGGCTGCAGCAAAAACTTTCGTTTTCTGTTTTTTGTGGGGAAAAACTGCCTTTTTTTTTTTTTACTCAGGCAAAATTTACTTACAGAATACAAAACATTTTGTTTTCTATAACTTAATTTATACTTACAAATAGTTTTGCATAAACTGGTAGCTTTCTTAGCATTGTTATTCAAGTAGCATATGAGGCATTAGAGAGCTAGCAGTAGTATATGTAGTACTTTGAAGAGATCTAAAAGAACCTAAAAATTAAGATATCAGTGATAATACACACAAAAGCCAACTATGTGCTCTTAAATATTCTGCTTGTTAACTTTTTGTTTAAAATGATCCAACATGTTAAGCAGTGACCATGGGTCCTCCCCTGCAGTTGCGTATTTTTTGCTGGCAGTCCTTTTGATTACTATGTGTATCATGCAGTGCTGTGTCACATTCCAGCCATTTCTTGGTCTAATGGGAAAAGACTGCAACGCTTCTCGAAAAACAAGAGTTGAAATTAATAAAACAGTTGATGGCTAATTGATCTGCGCTATAAAATGGATTTTTTCTTCCACAGAACCTTGACTTTTTCTGTGAGTAAATGTGCAAGATGTTGTTTACTGAACTGTTTTCTTCTGTACAACCCTTTGAATAGGGAATGTCTAGAGATAAGAGTCTTGCTACCTGGCATTTATGAACAACAACAGAATAAGCCTTCAGAAATATAATCGGTGACTTGGAATTCATAAACAGGGACCTGGGATGCCTTTTATGCCTTTTGAGCTTTTGCTGTTCCTGGGAGAAGTGTGATATGATATTGGTTATCCACATCCAGCACAGATGAAGGTTGGGTGTACAGAGAGATTAGTTGGTGAGGAGAGTACTGTGGTAGATTTGTAAGGAAAGGCAAGATAGAAGGAACTAGGAAAGTACTGAAGAGGTAGTGTGTGGGGGCATTTAAGAGTACGTCTTTTTACTATAGCTGCAGAATAAATGTCTATCGGTCTGTATGTTTCTGTCTTATAAGGAATATACACTAGAAAGTATTTGTGCATGTACTTGAAGTCTCAGGTATATAACTGGGTAGAGAATTCAGAAATAATTGAATAAAACCATTGATGCTTAAGGAGTATTATAAAGAAGTGGAGTTCTCTAATGCCTTGTTTCTTTGAACCTAGTAACAGTAACAACAGAGTTTTCAGTTGATGTTTAACTGAACAGGCACTAATAGAAACCTGAGCATCTGACTGTTTTCCACATATTTTTATTTTTTTAGTACTTGAAAGCAGTAATCTTAAGTGCCAGGAGAAGAGGTTACTGAGACTATTTGCACACTCCCCTAGGCAATAATCTGCCAGATTACCTCATCCTATTTAGCAAATATTCTTGCCTGCTAGGTGTTGACTTTCATCCCAAACAGCATTTCCCTGTGCGATGGGCAGTAGATTTTGTACGCATTTCCCCAGTAAGATGCTGGCCTTAATTGCTGTTCTGAGCTGTACTATGTTTCCCTTGTGGAATATCCTGCTCTGCCTCTATCTGAGCTTTCACTGCAGCTTCCTACTGCTCTTTGTTTCCTTGGTGGTTATAGGAAGGTGGGTAAGATATTTTTTACATGAGTATGGAATGCTTTTAGGATGTGTTCTTTTTAATTGTCCGGGAATTATTTCTTTCCTTTTTATAATAAAAGTGTAATTTACTTATCAATCACTCATTCTGTAAGCAAGCAATATGTTATATATGCACATGGAGTGTTTAAATAAAGTGTATTTAAATTATTATGCAGGGAATCAAGACTAGTTTTAGCAAAGCGGTTGATTTTGTATTGCAAAATAGTTCTTCTTTAACATTTAGTTATACACGAGCTGTAGTTATCGGATCTTTTACGTTCCAGTGGTTTCCTTCAGAGATGTACTGCTCCTATTATTTGAAATTCAATTTTGAACCATTCATCAGCTTGTTTCTTTTTCTTATACTGGCTTGTGGTCCTTGTTTTGATCCTAACATGTTCTGCTGATAACCATGAGAGAATAATAGCTAAGTAATACATTTGCATACATTACTGCTAATTTAAAAACTGAATAGCTAGATTTTTCTGTAAAACTCTGAACACAAACATTACAACATTATCAGTCTTTAACTTGTGTCTTGGTTTTATTTCCTGCCAGAAGTGGAAGAGCTATTAACTTCCCTAAAACATATCCAGCATGTTTTGGTAGACCCTCAGAGCCAAGAGGATATCTCTCTCATCTTACAGCTTGTTCAAAATACTGATTTTCAGAATGCATTTAAGATACACAATGCTGTTACAGTGTACATGAACAAAGCCAGTCCTCCATATCCTCTCATCTCCAATGCACAAGAACTAGCACAAGAGGTATGTACAGTATGCATCTCATTGATATGTATACGAAGCATGTAATCATAGCTGTTGTTGAAATGTGTACTTGACAAACTTGTTTGAGTTACTGCATGTTAAATAGAAAATGAATTCCAGTAGTCACTGGTTGCTGTATCCAGTTTTTCCACATTTCCAGGAAAGCGGTAACTGGAGGAATATTTGGGGGATAAGAATGCCCTTTTTGATGTGAATAGTCGTGTAATAGAATTAAAACATGTAAAAGAATTAAACAGAAAAGGGAGCAGTTAAGGACAATTTTTCACATTCACTATTCTTCAGTCCAGGGATTAGGAGTTGCATTGCAGTTATCTGTTATTGTGAGTTTCCTCCAAGTTGAGCCCTGGTTCTTAAATTTGGAAGCATCTCTGAAAATACAACTGTACTGGAAACAAGCATTTTGCTTTAAAGTGAGCAGCAGGTGCTTTAACGTTTTTTTTATTACTACTGTGATCTTCAGATCACGTTTTTTTTCTGATATGACAGCTCTCTTATAAGGCCAAGCACATCTTTTAGAAATGATTAAATTGTGCTTTCAGAAACCTACTTTAGTAAGATCTAAAACTTTCGTATTTTCAGTGAGATCTTAAATGTTTGAAATACTATTACAATTGTAGCTAAGTTAACTATTTTCTTTGAGTCTTACTCACTTGAATGTAGATGCACAGTGCCAGTTTATAGTAGCCTTGCAGTAGAAGTAATGCATGGGAAACGCATCAGATACAAAGTTGCAGATAACAGGAGGATCAGCGGAAGTGCAACAGGTTGCATTCTGCAAAGCCAGCTCCCCAGGCAGGAGAAGTGCACCTGCTCAGACCCGGCTCAGGTGCACTGGCGCATTGCTCACAGATGCATCACTTCCATTTCAGTATAGCAACAGGATTATTTCCGAAGCATCTGGTTTTGTTGGTTTTGCAAGTCAAAGAAAACAATGTTGCAGTCTTAGTTCTTTTGCAGAATAAATTACTGATTCTTGAGAGATGTCACTAAAGCATTCCCCAAAGGCAGAGTTTGCTGATTAATCTGCTGCTCAGGATTTTTGTGTTAATGCTCATCAGTAAGATTGCACCAAAACAAAGTGGGAGTATCTTTCCTGTGAGCTTGCCTATAGTTTATCAGGCTGCCTCTAGGCTGCTCCAGGATGCTTGCTAGGCTTTGTCCAAGTCTAGAGGAACCTTTCAAGTTAACTTCTGTTTGTAAGCCACTTCTTCATACACACATCCTGCCTATAGACCTAGTTTGCATTTTCACTCAGATGCAAGTCGGAGTTTTTAAATATGTATAGAACATTTGAGATTAATATCATAAATGTGATTGGGTTTGCCCTACCCCCCCTCACCCCCCTTCATGGGTATATTTTTTTATTTGGTGCTTAGCAGAAGTTTCCAGGAGGAATGTATGCCTTCCTAAATTACCCTGAAAGACAATCTTCTGTTGGCAACTGTAGTGAAATAGCAGAGCTTTCTCAATGTAGGGAAAACTACAAATCAGTTCTCAAATGTTCATGTTCCTCCCTGCTGTCTTCCCTAACTCCCACATTCTTAGCACATTCCTGTTATTTGCAGGTAGTTTCATAAATCCTAAGATCAGAAGACAGTGCAAAGCCAGTTCTGTGTCTTAGCATAATGCGTAAAGGCATTTAAGAATTAAATATTTTGTTTATCTGATAGAATTTTGTCATCACCTGGAAGAATATTACATAAAAGATGATGTGTTCCTGCTCTCATTTTGATGCTTCATTCCCTGTCTGTGTCTTGTTGCAGGCTTGAAATTCCTGAAGGGAAACATATTGCATACATCTGTGTTCATTTTCAGATGTAATCTAGATTCAACTTCTGATTTATTTAAGCAAATTATATTTTGCAATATGTTAAATGACATCCTGAAATGATTAAGCTGGAAATTCAGGTCAGATATTTCTGTGACCAACAGAAGTGTTGTAAGGAAGAGCTTGAGGCTTCCATTCACGTCGTTCTTGTTTGAACAGATCTTATGCTCATTTTTCAGACCTGTTATTCCTTAATGAATTTTTGCTTCAGGAAAAGTTGTTTTCCACATGCAAGCCGCCCCCAACAGGGGCAGCACGCCCAATTATTTTGTAGGCTTTCTTTTTTTTGTACCTTTTTCTTTTCCCACCTTTAAATATAGGCTTAGGAAGCTCCCTCAGAACGCAGTTCTTTTATCTTTCTGGAGCATTACCTACTTCAAGGTGTTTTTAAAGAGACACTTGGAAAAGTCTGAACAACTGATAACATCTTGATGATACAAAACATTACAAGAAAGAAAAACAGTATATACACACGTCATTTAAAATTAATGTTAAGTAATATTAATGTGCATATTCCATTGCACAGGTCATCAGTGACAGTGTACAAATCTGAAACTTTTGTAGTGTGTGTCCCAGTTTAAAGCTACAAACTCTGAACTCTCTGCTGTTGGAGGCTTTGTGATGTACAAGAGAGCCTATTCTAGAACTCATACATCTGTGGCTCTGACAAAAACAGATGAAAATTCTCATCCTCTGTTTAAGAAAAAAAAAGATTAAGATTTAGTATAAACAGCTTTTCTGAGGTGTAGTCTGGGGAGATTTTCATTTGTCACACTGAACTTAATTCGAGTCTCCATTTTCATTTACTCTTAAAAAGTTTACGTATTTGTAAAAAAAATAATGTAACAGTGTTGTGAAAAATTTTTGCTTTTGATTTTTTTTTTTAAACTTAACAATATTTAAGTGGAACGAGACACTTATTTTCTAGTCCTCTTGAGGAGATTCTTTATATTAGTATATTTGCACTTTTCTTGTTTACTTTGGTAAGCAGATCCCAACAACTCAGGTTTTTCCTTTGCTCTCACTGTTAAGAAACCTTTATTGAATTAAAAAGGTGGAATGGAGCACTTAGGCTTAAGGAATTTATTTTAAAGAGCTAATCTCCATAAAATGTAGTAGTCTATCTCTTAAACAAAAATAGCAGTAAACATCAAATGTAATTAAATTGATTTTAAATCCTTTTAAATTTGACCCAAGGTAGAGGTGAGGATTATGGGAACATGGTCTGAATCTTGACCTTGTAAGAATATTTGATGCAGCATATAAGACAGTTGGTAGTTTTTGGCTTGTAACACCGCAAATCAGATGCCTTGAATATATTCTTGCTATTAAATATACTCAACAGACTCAATTTATATAAATTGTTTCTAAATACCTGATATCATTCACTTTAGGAAGTGTAAACAATGAAATTAGATCAGTTCTTCTGAGAAGACAGAAGACGTGTTTGTAACTTCCAGTATAAATCCTTTAGAATGTGTCTATACATTGCTCCCAACAGTCCTGCTCATTCCATGCCGCATGGTTTTGCAGATTTGATTATATTCTGAATGGCCAATATGATGCCAGTGCGTGCCCTCTGCTATGTGTCTCGCAGTATGCCTCCAAGTTGTGGCTTTTATAATGAAACCATATTAATAATTTTTTTTTAACTGTTTGAGCTCAAGTTTACGTAACTAACAGTAAAAACTGGCTTGAAGGGTTAAGAAAATAGTAGTATTGCCACAGGTTTAGCGTGGAATGCTTATACTGTCTGTGGCGTGTCACTTCTGGAAAATCAGCCTAGATTCAGATTTCTTTACCTGATAAGACATGGAATTCTTTACCTTAAATAACAAAGCAATCTGACGTGCAGCTGTACCAGTGTGATAAGCGTTGCACATAGCAGACTGAACCTTTCCTAATGCTTCAACCATTATATTAAGCAAATAAATAATATATTTATCTTTTCCTTAGGAAGGAGGTGGAGGAGCTGTTAGAGTTTTTGAATAATGTAATTATTCAAAGAGGAAATTCAGCTGCAATAAAGGATGTTGTTGCATAGAGAATGACTGACTGGTTGGGCCAAGTTCTAAGGCATGGAAAAATAAAGCAGGAGGGGAGATGGCTGTTCTTGGCATCTTAACATATATATGCCTTATTGTGCACTTTTGTTTCAAACTGTTTAATCTGTGTGTCACGTAGCAACTAGCAAAATGTTACTATAAATAATATATGGTTCAGGATTGCTTTTATATTGCTTTTTTTATTGTATAAATTCACAAAGACGTGCGGATTTGATTCTGAGATATAACAATACCTACAGATGTATGTAGTACATTTTTTTTCTCTGTGTAATACTCAGCATCTGGCCATGTGTTCCAAGTGTCTTGCTTGCAGGACTTCTAACTGGGGATAATAGCTTCCTGGCAGCTGCAGAGATATGACTTAGGTCAAACTGATGGGAAGCTGAATTCCTTCTGTTCTCTGTGGTTTGATCTAAATTAATTCTTCAATTTAGTTCTTGATTTTATGTCACATTTTACATCCTGAAGACTAAAAAACTCATGGGGGAAAGAATGTTTCCATCTCACAGGAAGCTGCTGTTACATATAATCTACTCTTGATTCCTCTAGCTTCATTAGTGCTTTTGGACTCATGACTTTGGTGCAGATTAGGCCTGAAGATAATTGCTGTGGAAAGTATCTTCTTCAGCCTTGCTTTTAGATAAGGGGGAATTCCCTGCTCCTGGCTTTCCTTTAAAACATACAGGGATTTTCTGTATTTGAGATGATGGCAAGGCCTGTTTAACTGAACAGGAATGCAAACCTTTTTTGGCAACAAAAGCTACTTGAGCAAGAACAGTTGTCTTACTGTGGATTATTCTTTTCCTTAGCAAAAAAAAAAAAAAAAAAAAAAAAAGGTATTAAAAAAAATAGCTGAAGAAAACTGGTTTGCTGAGATGTTGGTATTTTGATGTTTTGACTCTTAGAGTTTTTGAAACAGATGTTCCAGCAAGTGCTGCAAAACCTGTTTTGGAATCTTTGGTTTTGCTGCTGGTAGAAATACTAATAAACCATCTGCTTTTAGGGAAAAGGAAGTCTGGTCACATTAGTGAGAAACTAGCCCAGTTTGATAGATGTAGCAATATTTGCAAAGTAGGCTTCATTGTAGCTAATTGTGCTGTCAGGTTCCTTTCTCAACTTCTTTGTGTAGGTCTCTTGCAGTAGCTGAGCTCGTTGTTGGTTTCTGTTGAGAAATGCATGTGATATACTGGATACCAGTTAGCATTCGATAGAAAATCACTGAAGCACAGCATGCTGGAGTAGTCCTGCGATCTCACTGCACATTTTTCTAACGTGTACTAGGCCAGGCTCAGTGCATCGGTATAACAGTTATTGGGCATGTTGTACTTTCATAAAATGAATAATTGCAATTAGGGTTTTGTGCTTCAGTTGAGGAATGAATGAAGATTGATGAATCACTGGGTAGAGTGAGAGCTTTACTACTTTATTTCTTTTCAGGTTCAGAGTGTTTTAAAACCCAGTCACCACAAGGATGGGCAGGAACTTAATGCCTTGCTGAATGCCCCTCACATGCAGGTAAAACAAATTGTTGTCTTCTACAGGTATTACAAGCTAATTTTCACATGAGCAAGGTAGCATTAGATCAGTAATGTCAGTGGCAACACATGAACTACTTTACTTTTCTGTGGTTTTTTTTCTGTGATAGATACAGTCATTGCATTCTTATCATAGGGTGCATAAAGGGAATTTTGTCCATGACTTACAGATGAAGTAAATTTTGTAGTTTTGACTGCAGCTAGTTTTTTTGCTTCTGTGTCTTCATTCACATATATAGTAAACCAATGTCTGGCTTTTTTCAAGGAGAAATTGTAAGTATAGTCACAACTTTGCATTCAAAGTAGTTTTGTATTATTTTCTAAAACTGAAAGCAAACTTTTTTGCAGGTAGAAACTACATAGTTGTGATAAATCTTTTCTATTGCTTGAGTCGTTTTGTAATATTCTTTAATTGTGTATAGAGCTTTCAAATTGCAGAATTTCATTGATTGTTACTGTTTTGTATGCATATGAAATTAGGATTTTACTGTAACTGAGCTGATTTCATTTAACGCTAGGCACTTCTACTAGCTCATGATAAGGTTGCAGAACAAGAAATGCAACCCGAGCCTGTTGCAGATGAAAAAATTTATGAAAATGTTGGCACGTATGGAGGGGAGACGGTTAAAATAGTTCGCATTGAGAAAGCTCGAGACATTCCCTTGGTAAGTGTTGGTACTCGCTCAGTTATACTTGAAGCAGGTGAGCAGTATTTGCAGATGACTGCGAGAGTCTTAGAATTTGAATGTGAAAGTTATGTTTAACTCAAGAATCATTTTCTTCCCCACCTGCCCAATTGAGAAATGGTAATGTATGATTACTTAATATGCATTTTGATATAACAGTAAACATGTTACCACATAGAGCCTGTATAGCTTTCATCATGTGGATTTGGACAGGGTATTATTATAGAAGTCACTATCCAAGCTTAGCTGCAGGGAAGCTTAGATCCTTGTCCAATTACAGAAGTCTATGTTGTGTTAGTGCTCTTTTTCATTTTCTATTTGCATCTTTCCAAGAAGTGTTTAGGAAAGTTTTTATAAAAAAAAAAAAAAAAAAAAAAAAAAAGAAAAAAAAAATCTTATACTGTAGAGTAATTCAATTCTTCAATCTCTAACACCACTTAAAGAAACAAATGTTTTTTTTTTGTAAACTAGAGCATTGCTTGTATACATCCAAGCTGTTACATGCATTTTCTTTCAACAGAGAAACGTCTCATCACTGGCTTGAAATATTTGCAATAGATGGCTTTGAGTTTGTGATATGTAATAAATTCAGAATTTGTTGCTACTGCACAGGGTGCTACTGTTCGTAATGAAATGGATTCTGTCATCATTAGTCGAATAGTCAAAGGAGGTGCTGCAGAGAAGAGTGGGCTGTTACATGAAGGGGATGAAGTTCTGGAGATCAATGGCATTGAGATTCGTGGCAAAGATGTTAATGAAGTTTTTGATTTACTGGTGAGTTGGGGATTTCATTTTCCATGCAAAAAATACTCCTCTAAATGTGAAGTGTGTTAGCTCTGCTTGTCATTTGTAGTCATATTTAGAATTATTTTAGAGCCGTTTTTTACTCTCATATTTAATACTCACACATGGAGGGTCATTTCAAGCTTGCTTTCTCATGCAAGGTGCAATTTTAGTAAGTATAATGGCAGCTAAATGGAAAAATGAGCCTTACAAATATGAACAGGTCAAGCTGTCATCTTGAGACTTGTTCTTATGACTTCTAAGGAAAAGCTTTGCTTAGCTGTGAAAAGCCATGATTTTTTTTTTTCATCTGTCTCAGGCTTAGTCCTCAGTTAATATCAATAAATGTGTGTCTGCATCGTTCTGTCCCTTCCCTTGAGTAGGTACATAAGGTGTTGTGGTGGGGACAGTGAGGACAGATGTCCACAGTGGTAGTCCATGCCACGTAATACCATGCTCAGGAAGAAAAAATAGACAATGAGCCATTTCTTCTGATGCTGATTTTTTTTTTAGGTCTGTTTGGTTTTAAACACTCATATATTAAATTCTTGACCCATGAGTCTTTCTTGCTTTTGATCTTACGATTCTCTCCCATGTGCCTTTTGGGGAGAGTAGCGAGTAAGCAGTTGGCAGTAGTTTCTGGCTGGACTCAACCCACTGCTAATTATTTCACATGGGACATTTACCTGACCAGACTTCTTACTCTTTCCCTCCTAACAAAAAACCTTTTTGTCTAGCAGCTTACCAACAAAAGATACTTTTCTCTTTGTTACACTTGTAACATTCATAGCAAAGCTGTGCATCAATTCAAAAGGTATTAGATAAAACCAGCAAAAAATCCATCAGGAACTAGAACATTTCTGCCTTTACTAAGTTCTGGCAAGCTAGGGTGCCAGTAGCTGGGGATTGTACATACTTCATTTTGCCCAATATTCCTCTGTTTCTATGCTCTTCCTTGGCACCTGCTATTGAATAGTGTCTGCGATGGGTCACTTGGAACCTTACTGTGAGTCTTTAGTCTCCATCAGAGGAGATCATTCTGTAAAAGTGAAAATGGATGAAAGTACATTTTTTTCCACCTTTACTACAGACCTTTGGAAATACTAGCACGTATTTATTAAGAGGATCTTTGGGAAGAAGTTACAAAGAAACATATATAGTAAATATTTGAATTACTTAGTGAATGTGAGCTCTGTATACAAATGAAAATCAGGGCAAAGACTTGAGTTCTTCTGTAAGTTTCATTTATTATAGGAAGTACAAACATTATCAATAAATGATGTCTTCTAGTGTAGGACTGTAGTTTTTAATGGACACTGTCCATCTTTTCTGATGGTTCTGCTGGATTGGTGCATGGAGGGAGGCTGAGTGGAGAGAATTAGAGGCAGAAATGGTTTTCTTGAGCCATTTATTTGAAAAGCCTTCAGTCTCCATGTGTTTTGGATCAGAGGTGTGTGAGATCCTTTATGCGATTAGCTCCGTTGCCATCCATGTTTTCAAAAGAAGCCATCCATATTTAGCTACATCCTTCTGCCTTTGGAAAAATATGTTTTGTATGTGCTTAACAGATAATTAAACAGTAGCAGTTTAACTCTCTGTGGAGATCTTGTTCTCCATTTGAACAGGTCCTACAACTTAGAGTTACAGAACAAAAGATGCAGTATGGATACATATGTATTATTTATGTGTTACATATGTTTGTAGGAGCAATTGATAAAAACCTCAAGATGTCCTAGTTTAAAAAACTAGTTTTTAAGCTTCATAATTATTTGTATGCTGACTTTTTTTTTGTTTTGTAATGTTAAATTTTAGAAGTTATAAAAAGTTAAAAAAAAAAAAAAAAAAAGCTTCAGTCCCCAAAGAATACTTAAGAACAGAAGAGAAAGAAATTTCTTGCATTCTAATTCTTGCCTCACCCGTTGTGCCTAAAATGATAATGAAGTGGCATGTGACTTCAGACAAGGCTACTCATGCTATCTCTGTGAAATTCTGTGCATTCCTCAAGAAAGTATGCATACTAACTGAAAATGGTGGATTTTCCTTTCTTACAGCCTAATCATATTATCCTCGGTTGTGTTTACTTCATTTAAGCCTGAAGTGTCAATTTTTGGTGATACTCATATGCGCTTTAGTTTATGCAGCATCAATTGTTACGGTTTATGGAAAGTTGTATAGAAAGTGAGATGCATAGGCCTCTTCAGGATTTGGCACATGTATTAAAATAGATGTTTGTTACATGGAGAAATAAAGTGTGTGCAAGAGTATGCAAGCAACTATGACTGCTCTAAAACCAAGACATGTATTAAGTTCCCTTTTCTTTGTAGATGCTGTTTCAATGTTAGGTACCTATGTAGAATTCGTATGTTCTGGTTGAATCTTTAAAAAGTGTTCTGTATGCTTTGGTAGCGTTAAACAGCATAAAAACATACTAGAGATGTTTAGATTTAAAAGCACTGTCGCATTTATGTAATTTCAGGGTTAAAGTTTCCTAGGTATTTTCTCCTATTAGCCTAGCTCTGCTTGGTATTTTCAACTGAGCAATAGAATGTGCTCTATTTGGTCCTCTATTTGTCTCAAGTCTCTGCAAGTGTTCTATTTAAAATAGAAATGGGTTATACATAATCTGGAGCTCTACATTTTTGTAATCTGAATATGAGCATTTGGTTTTCTAATCCGTTGCTGAATCACTGCAACTGTATGTTAACAGACCTTTTTTTATCTCAGGCTGACATGCATGGCACTCTGACCTTTGTATTGATTCCCAGTCAGCAGAGCAAGCCACCTCCTGCTAAGGAGACAGTTGTAAGTAGCTTTACATACCCTTGGTGATGCATACCCTATTTTTCCAGTAGAGCTTAGAACTTTTGTTTTGTAGGTTAAAATTGTTCTGTAGGTTATTTACACAGCAAAACAAAAACCAAATTGCAATTATTTAAATAGTTTGTTACCAGACTTGCACCTGAGTGAACTGTTAAAAACGATTGACAGTGATAAGCTGAAACATGGTGTATTTCTAACTCTGTTTCTAAAATAATAAGAATTTAATAAAAGTAGCACCACTTATGCTTCTGAAATTCTATTTGGAACTTCTCCGTTTCTCTATTTTATATATATGAATTGATTTGATAGAAGTTAAGTGTTCTACTCTAATTTGTAAATATGCTTTGTGAAGAAAAATCTGTATACTGGATGCTTTTGGTATCTTTGTAGTTAACATAACCTTTCCTTAGTTCACTTCAAGAATTTGAAGAAAGATTGCACAGATTTCTATCAAAGCAAAAAAAAAACCCTAAAACTTAAATGTTTGGTGGTGAAGTAAAGTATTTTTGAAGTGAAATTTTATCTGAAAGCCATAAAATGGGTCTCATTCTGTGTTTGCTATTTAAATATAAGTAAATGAGAATATCTGTGATTCTTTTTGAGTGCTAAGGGCTTAGATTTGTAGCTCAGGATTTTTTGTTGTTGTTGTTCCTAAAGTGGTTAAAAAAATTTGTAGGCTCTAGAATTAATAAAACTTGAAATTCAGGCTTTTATCCATTCCAGTGGATATCCAGTGGAATCCAATGGATTCCAGTCTCCTGTATGTCCTAGATACAGTCTGCATTCTATAGGAGTTATCTTGGAGTTTTTTTATATCAAACCTCATCTTTAGTTACGGGAAGATGGAGGTGCAACTCTTCTGAAGTCACGGATTTTTCCTTTTTTTTACATTCTTATCTTCCACAGATACATGTGAAAGCACATTTTGACTATGATCCTTCTGATGACCCTTATGTCCCCTGCCGAGAGTTAGGCCTGTCTTTTCAAAAAGGAGATATACTCCATGTTATCAGCCAAGAAGACCCAAACTGGTGGCAGGCTTACAGAGATGGAGATGAAGATAACCAACCACTGGCAGGCCTTATTCCTGGTAAATAAAGATCTAGAAAAACCTTGAAAAGTTGTTGTTCCTATAGTTGTAGGAGGCAATATTTTGATTTTTTTTTTTTTTTTTTAAGAGCTCATATCCACAGCCTTAAAATACCTATGACTTTGAAGATTTTGCAGCAGAGCCCACTGTTGGTTTCATTATACGTTTATTTGAAAGGTTGACCTTTTAGAAGCATCTCCATGTATAAATGTAAAAAGTTAAACATCAAGTAAAACGACCACTTCCACTGCAGTTCACGTTTCCTAAATTACTCTGTATTTCTTTATTCTTTTACCCTGGCAACTCTATGGATTCAGAGTTCCCTCTGCTGGCTACAGCAGCAAAATTGGACTTCAACCTGCTTGTTGCATCCGGAGATGAGAGCAGCTTTTAGGTTTCACACTATTTCAAGTAGTATCTTTGAAAAATATATTTTCAGGTAGTAACTTTTCTATGTGTTTTCACTCAGCCAAGAGCTTCAGTTATTGTAATAATCAAGCTTCCTTTCTAACTGCTGAAAGCCTTTGAGTAACTGAAGTCAGTATATAATTTTTCTCTTGAAGTATGTAATGTATTCCAGTTCACCACAGTTCTTAGCAGATGAACAGATGTAAATTCCATAGAACAGTATGCTATTATTTTATAATATTTGAATAAGGTCAGGGAAACGCTGATTTTAAATGTAGCATAGTATTTTTTTCAAGCTGAAATTTTAGAAATGTAGCATAAATATAACATACATAATATTAAAAAATAAGAAAAATATATGACCACAATGACAAAAATGTAGTCTTCCCCATGTTTTCAGTTTTCAGACAAAACTATCCAGAAAAGTACGAGGCTGTGCCATTCTCACTCGATGATTATGTTTTGGAAGCAATAAACTGGTTTCTCATCAACTTCAACCTCCGCGAATCTTACTTGTTAGAATTTTTAGAATTTTTTAGAATTTTTCACTCCTTCCATCATTCAGACAAATTTTAGGACGTGATGGGAAGGAAATCAGCTGAGTTCTTAGTTCCCATTTCCTGCTAAATACAGCATTGTTGCCAGTGTTAAGACAGCTGAAGAAAATGATAGTCAAACAATATGAAAATCCTGAGGAAGTATAGCTTGCATTTGATGGTAGTGCTTGCTTAGTGGCTTGCTTGGCAGCAAATATGGAAGTAGTATTTATTTAAAAAGCACCATATGAGTATTACGAAATAATTAAAAAAAAAAATCCTGAAAAATTAATTGTGAATGTCACCCAAATTAGACAGTACTAAAAAGACAACAGATACTTTTGTGTACATGAGTTACATCACTTCCAAATACTGTCAGTTTTGAAGGGTATTGTTAATGTACATATCCAGATTAATTGTGCTGAGTTTCTGAGTTTCATTCTATTAAGGTAATAGAATTTTACATCTTTATAACAAGCAGTTTTCCCCAACAAATTTCTGTTTTATGACATATTCTACTAGAAGCTTCAGAGATTTAAAATCTTAACCAAATGAGTAAGTCATTAGAAGAAGGTATGGAAATGTACACGTACTTATGACTATACATAATAACCGTTTTCAAAAGTTAACTGCTTTCATTTTTCCTTAAAATGCTTTCAGGAAAAAGTTTTCAGCAACAAAGAGAAGCAATGAAGCAAACTATAGAAGAAGACAAGGAGCCGGAGAAATCAGGTTAGATCTGTGCTTTTTGAGGAAAAAGGTGTCTAACTAATAGTACTGTTAATTACTATTATCTAGAACCTTGTCAGTGTAGAGAGAAAATTCTCCATTTTTATAATACCAGTGTGGTGCTTGCTTGAAGTTCTTGATGTAAATGCAGGCCTGAATTTAGTTTCAATCAGTTTAGTTTCAGTTTTAGAATTTAATATCAATCAGAGTATTTTCTCATAATTATTATGCACAGTGTAGATTAATGTAAGGGAATTTTGAGTGCCTCCTTTTTCTTAAAGAATTTTACTTGTAGCAAGACCCAGTTGAAGCTCCTGCTATGCAGAATTTGCTTCATACACTCTACTGGTGTAATGAAATAAACAACCTAATGTTTTCAGATCTTCAAATCCATATAGTTAGTAAGATAGGAAGCATTTTACCTCATGGGTATGTAATTGTGATGACTTCATTTTGATTAGGAAAACTCTGGTGTGCGAAGAAGAACAAAAAGAAACGGAAGAAGGTTTTATACAATGCAAATAAAAATGATGGTAAGTAACATCTTTTACATAGTGTGCATTTATGAGTAACTATAGAAGATTTAATAAATGCTCCTGTTTTATTTCCCCAGAAAGCAAAAATAAATAAATAAATAAAATAAAAAAATCTGTCTTGGTTTACTAGACGGAGTCAATCTTTGAGGTTGTAGAGGGGAGCTTCCTGAAACCTTGCTCTGCAGGACAAATGACACGTTCAACAAGCAATAATGCATTGACCTTTTTATTGTTTTTCTTTCAAGATTATGATAATGAAGAAATATTAACTTATGAGGAAATGTCACTGTATCATCAACCAGCAAACAGAAAACGACCTATTGTTCTCATTGGCCCACAGAACTGTGGCCAAAATGAATTGCGGCAGAGACTTATGAATAACGAAGTGGATCGCTTTGCCTCTGCTGTTCCCCGTAAGTTTGATAAGCAGATATGATTGCTTATTCTAAACATTGCCTACACCCAAACCCTCTTGTGATTAAAATTGTAATTAGAAATTAAGGGGTTTTGAGGAGGTTACAGTCAGCTCTTTGGTGAGGAACAAATTATGTCTTGTGTGGCAGGCACTAGCCTTTGTAAGTAAATGCAAATCCAGTGTCCCAACATAGTGCTATAGAGGTATTATATGACACGCATATTTTTCAATCTGGATAAAGTCGGATTGAGTTACAGAAGGTTAAAGAAGAAACTGGCACATCTAACAAATAATCTGTGGACTAGTTATCCTGCATAAACTTAAACTTTAGATGGATTTAATACTTTTCCAAACTATTTACATTTCATTGAATTTTACATAAAATGTCTTTTGTACCTGAAATTAGTATTATAAATAACTAACAGCTTTTTTTCACCTCCAGAATGCAGCTGCATGGGTGAAATTTATTCTTAACTGACTGTTTTTTCTTAGATAAATGTAAGAAGACATCTGAATGTAGATTCGGTCTTTGACTGATCCATCTCTCCAGTATTGTTTATTACACAGAATAAAATACATGTATTTCTTAGCTATTTTAATCAAATGCTGATATTTTCTTTTCACTTGAGTAGGTATGTTTCATTCAGTTTATTTTTTGTGGTTTTGTTTGTAGATACAACTCGGAGCAGGCGGGAAACTGAAGTAGCTGGCAGGGATTACCATTTTGTTTCCCGACAAGCATTTGAGAATGACATAGCTGCAGGGAAGTTTATTGAATATGGAGAATTTGAAAAGAATCTTTATGGTACTAGTATAGACTCCGTGCGGCAAGTGATCAATTCTGGCAAGATATGCCTTTTAAATCTTCACACTCAGGTATGGCAGAAGCTGTTGTCTGCTACGCTTCAATTTTAGCAGCTACTGTGAAAGTCTTGAGAGAGAGATTTTAAGTTGATGTAAAATTAGTCTGTCTGTTTCCATGTTTATTCCAACTTATTTTCAGTGGTGTTCAGTGGACCATTTAGTGTTCTGTGTATTTTCAAACACGGAACAAAAAGGTTGCATTCATAACTTTTGTTTCTGTGCTAAGGTTAAAAGGGATATTAGTTTCCAGATATTTCTCACTAGCTCTAATTTTCTGAATTTAAAAATCAAGATTTTGCTCTAATTTTATGAGCTCTAAGGTGTTAGAAGATGGAAAAGCTTTTGGAAAATTCAGATTGCGGTCAGGTCATTTTTATGTATGTCTTGATATATGCGTAGCCTGGCAATAAATAGTCTGAGCATACAGTGTGTTTGGCATCCTGTATTACAATCTTCAAAATAGGAAATGTTCAACTGGAATTTTTTTTCAAAGACCTCTCAATTTTTCTAATTGATTAGAATATATTATATATATTAGAAATAGAATTTTTTTTCTAAGACCTCTCAAAAGTTTCTAATTCCCTAGCGTTTTGAGGAAAATTGCTTCAATTTAGATTACTTGTTTGATTTTGAAATTCTTGAACAAAAGTAAATGTTTGGAGTCCATAACTGTGAGAAATATTGGAATGTAAATCTTGTAGGAAATGGTGACTGAATTCTGAGTGGCAGTAGTAATACTGTTATTGTTAATTGGATGGAAATTTCTTAGGTGTTCAATATTTAATACTTTTTCTACAGTCACTGAAGACACTACGAAATTCTGACTTGAAGCCATATATTATATTTGTCGCGCCACCTTCGCAAGAGAGATTACGTGCTTTGTTGGCCAAAGAAGGGAAAAATCCAAAGGTAATATATCTAACGCTTCTTCTGAAGCCATTCTGCTTTTTTACGTATGGTTCTGGAATGCTTTTGGTGAACAAATGCATGTGCTCTTTTTTTTTTTTTTTTTTTTTTTGTTTTGGAATTGGATGCTGGCATGGTACTGACAATGTAGAGGAGGTGGTTAGTCAGAGATCTCTGCTCCAGGCTAGTGAGCAGACTACACTAGCTGAACATGAGAGATGTGTGACAGGAGAATCCATTTGCCTGGGGCACACATCCCGGCATTTGGGTACAAAGATGATGTTTAATTTCAAAACTGCAGAAAATATGACTTTGTGTTCAAGGTAACCTGGGAATGATTTTAGGGAGGAATTTTTTTTCTTTTTAGAATTTATCTGGTCTTGAAAAAGCACTTACTTAAAAAAATGTATTTTAAACCTCTTTGGATAAAATTATTTCTGTGCTTGATCCTGTGTGATTGTTTCTCAAGACCTCAGCTTACCCAGTTCAGATCAATTATTTAAATGCAAAGCTAGCATTGACAGAATTGACACCTGCAAATTAAGCCAGGATGTTTGAAAGCTCAGAAGAGGTCCTTATTAATTTATGGGACACACATGGCATCAGCCACAACAACCCTAGGCAACTCTGCAGGTTTTGGGCAGAGTGGCTGGAATGAAGACTGTACAGAAGAAATGAACTTGGGGGGTGTTGGTCAATGTTTGGCTGAACGTGAACCTGCAGCGTGCCCAGTGGCCAAGAAGGTCAAGATTATCCCAGCTTGTATCAGTAGTAGTGTTGCCAGCAGGAACAGGGAAGTGATCATCCCTCTGTTCTCAGTACTGATGAGGCTGCGCCTCAAGTACTGTGTTCAGTTTTGGGCCCCTCACTACAAGAAAGACAGCACAGTCCTGGAGTGTGACCAGAAAAGGGCAGTGGCGCTTTTGAGGGGTCTGCAACACAAGTCTTATGGGAAGTGGCTGAGGGAACTGGAATTGTTTAATCTGGAGAAGAGGAGGCTCAGGAGAGACCTTACTCTCTACAGTTACCTGAAAGGAGGTTGTAGTGAGGTGGGGTTCAGCCTCTCATTACATCTCTAGTCATATGGAAAAAGTTGCACCAGAGGAGATTCAGGTTAAACGGTAGGAAAAATTCCTTCTCCAAAAGAGTGGCCAGACACTGGAATGGGTTGCTCAGGGAGGTGGTGGAGTCACTATCCCTGGGGGGAGGCATTGTAAAAACATTTAGGTGTTGTACTGAGGGACATGGTTTAGTGGGGAAATATTGGTGATAGGTGGATGGTTGGACTGGATGGTCTTGTAGGTCTTTTCCAACCTTGGCAATTCCGTGATGCTATACGATTGCATTGCTACAGTAATGCAGTTCTGTAACTGGACTCTACTCTGCAGTGGTGAATAGGAAGCACTTTTCTACCATGGAGTGCTAGTTTAGCATAATGTAGTTTGCACTGAGGAAGAAACAATTGTTCTACTGTAACTGCATCTATTCATAGGAGTTCCTAAAACAGCTGTGATCAAGAATCACTTCTCACTGAGCTCTGTGTTTTGCTCTCCATCTTTGATTTAAGGGTGTGATGTATTGTCAAATCCAAAAGAGCATTAACATCCAAGCCTTAAATGGGAAGGTGGTGGTTATTGTTGCTTTGCCTGGGTCAAAATTAATCATATTCTCTAAGTAGACGTTTCCTCCTTCATGGTTATCCAATGAGTAAAACCTTACTGTACATAAATATTAAATTTGCCCTTTTTTTGTTGCAGTATTCAAAGAATCCTTCAAGGACAAAAAAAAAATAATACTGTTATTGGTACTAAATCACGCTCCTTTTTTTCAAATTAATTGTGTTGGAGTTGTCTTTCAGATGGATGAAGGCTACTGTGTTAAACACCTTCCCATTATGTAGTAAAGACTATTTCTTGCATGTGTAACTTGGATTTTCTTAAGAATATGTAAAGCATACAGGAAAGAGAAATCTGTTTCAAAAGCAATTTCAGGACTATCTTTTTAAACATTTTCTGAAAATATACCTGGATATTCCTTTATGAAATACAAAAGATATGTTGCAGAAGAGGAAATGGAACGTTTTTTAGAAATCAAACTTAGAGAAATTCTTAAGTAAAACCATCTGTTTCTGCTTCTCCTTAGAATCACTTTTCTACTTGTACAATTTTTCTGCTGTACTGTTTACTTAATTCTATGGTGATCCCATTGATTTTGGTGCGTACCTTTTATGGTGGCTCTCGTCATCTTTTATTGGTGAAAATATTCCAGTGACAGCTGCTGCCTTTGGCTGTTCAGTGTCTGCAGAGATCCATCTTCAGAGGTGTGCAGTTCGGCACCATTCAGCTTTCGCTTTCTGCTGTCTTCTGTTTTTTCTAGAAAGATAGTAGGCTTAGCAACCAAACTGATTTTTGAGAAACATGTTTGAGGAGCCTCAGTAGGATGTATGTCATAAAAGGAGCAGTGCTGTGTCTTCCTCATGTACTTCAGTCAAGGACTGTCTTTTACGGGATTGCCACTTGTGGCCAATGAGAAATAGTTGCCTTTGGTGTTAAAATGTGTAGTAGTTCATTGTTGTCAAAAATTTAGCAATACAATTAAAAATCCATGCATAAGGCCTGAGTTGTTACTTTCCCTTTTCTTTTTATGGGAGGGGCTTACACACATACAATAACTCCCTGTTCTTTATTTGCAGCCAGAAGAGTTGAGAGAAATCATAGAGAAGACAAGGGAGATGGAACAGAACAATGGTCACTACTTTGATACAGCAATTGTGAATTCTGATCTTGATAAGGCTTATCAAGAGTTACTTCGGTTAATAAACAAACTTGACACAGAACCCCAGTGGGTACCCTCTACCTGGCTACGATGAAAGAGAATAATTCCAGGGGACAAATGGGCTTCAGTTGAGTAATCATTCTAAGATCACGTGTAGGTCTGCCCAGTTAGTGAGTAATAAGTGTCTGAGCCCTGGACCTCATTGGCTGCATCCTTTATAAGTGAAATCAGGTATTATTGGAAAAAAAAAAAAAAAAAAAAAAAAAACAACAACAACAAAAAAAAAACATTAAAAAAAACAGCTTGAGAGCTGATTTAACTGTTCTAGAGGTTGTCCAAATTTTCTTTTTCTATGGTCTAGAAATGGAGACCTTGTCCATACTAAATTCTAAAGCTTTAGATTTTTCTAGCAACAACTTTTATACATAAATTCTCTTTTTCTACCTAGTCACCCTTAGGAAAGCAAAGATTTTAAGTGTGTGTATTTGTATATACAGTCCACATTGTCACATAGTTATAAATATGAATGTTATTTAACGCTTAACTTAATGACTTCATGGGACATAGCGGTAGTTCAGGAGTGTAATTCTACAGATCGTTGGGCAGAGAAATAATCTACGTGTGAAAGAGGTGATTAATGAGAAATCTGTCCTTTTCAAAAAATTGAAGAACAAAGATGCTACTCTGGTCTGGAGCTACCTGGTGAGGCTTGATTTTATATTCTAATTCTAAAAAACATTCCACTTTCTAATAGCACTGTAATTGGAAAATGTGTATAATGTAAATATTTCAATCCTTGTGTCGTCTTAGGCAGGCTTTTTAATTCTGGGTTGACTGCACATTAATTTTAGGTTCAATTAAAGATGAATTATATTGATCTTTTAGATGTGATATTTTTATGGAATTTTCCTTGAAACATCGGCTGATTGGAGCCGCTGTTTTCTGCAGATCTGTAGGGATATTTAGGAAGGCAGAGATTATATTTTTATGAAAAACATGTAGTTATAAAACATTGCTTGGAAGTCAGCTGAAGTTCTCATGTTTTATAACAGAATACTGGCTAAAATAGGCTGATGTGCTGAACATTGGAAGATAAGTGGGTTTTGTAATCTCTGTGAATGGCTCGTTTTGTGGCTGTTGCTCTAACAGATAACTAACTGGAATTAAAACAGCTGAAGGTAGCTATTGTGTTATAAACAAGTATTGTAATTCACTAGCCAATATATTGTCCTGCATTTGCTCACTACTGCAGTAAAAAATGGGTGAAACACTGGTGACCGACTGAGAAGTCGCAACAAGGTGGAACTTAGTAAAACAAATAACTTGAAATGAGTGAATAGAAGGCAAAGTCTGTATCCTAGTGTGTGTTCTGCGAAACAGATCAGATCACCTCTACATCTTCAAATCTGAGCTATGACATTAGTAAACTACAACAGCTGTGTCTGCAGTGGGGGGAATTCTATTGCTAAAGCTAACTGAAGATTACTATCTGGGCTGTTTGAGTTTAGGGTAGCACAGCCCTTGAATGTGAATATCTCTTAATGTTAGCCGTGGTGTTCATTACTTCCTACAGGTAAAACACAAGTTATGTCGGTTTGTTGTTCACTCCTGTCTAATGCAGAAGGATTTAACAAGTAGTTGATTTTTTTTCCATGCTGTCTTGCATATATTCAAGTTCTAATGGAACAAACTCATACCTGTAGCTGAACAGAGACCTCCAAGTGTATGGGGAATATAAAGAAATTATAAAATAACATTTCTAGTTAGTGAACTAACATTTTGGATTGAAAAATTAGAGTGTGCTCCTGTCCTGCCTGCTACAAAGCAAAATTATTTGCTGGTTTAATATTTAGGGCTGAGAAGCAATTAAAGGGGTAAGTAGTGACCCTTCAGGAAAAAAAAGAAAGCTGGGGGGGAGGGGGTGGGTGAGAGGTTAGGAAAAAAAAATATGTAGTGTTCTAGATATTGATGTAAGAGTAAGGTACTCAAATTGGTAGGTTTTTTGCCTCACGCTGCAGGCATGTTTTCAGTTTAATCCATAGTTTGAAAACTACAATGTTCAGGTATAATGAATGTTTCATAGGTGACAAAGTACTCGTACAAACTCTACCCTTTTTCTTTTTAAGAAGATTGTAGGTATATTAGGCTCTTTGGTATTGACTGTGTCACTGTGGGACAAGATGAAAAGCTGTAAAATTTGTTACTTAAGAGTAACTTAGCTACAGAGATACTGTCCAAATTCCTGCAGCCACAATCAGCTTGAGATGGTTGCTGAAGCCCCCTTATGTATTCAGTGTGATAGCCTGTGTCAGTCTCAGTAATTGCTGTTAATGTCTTTGATGTTTTTCTCCCCAGTTTCTCTGAAATGTTGTACAGAGGCTGCTTGTAAAGCAGTAAGTTCTTGAATGTAGACTTAAAGAATGTTGAGGTTCAGCTCTACTCTCTTAATTCCCAAGGCACACAGTACTGATATCCATATAATGAGGTGCTATGATATTTATAACCAGTGTTAGCTGTCCTGCTAAAGGGCTTTAGCACCACTAAGAAATGTACTTGGCTGTCCCATCCTGCCATCAGTTTGGATCTGGAACTACCTGATATAAGAAATTACTCTGCCTTTTTTACTATTTTTAACGCAGATTGTGTTTATTCCCTTGAGAGTAAAACAGAATATGCAAACTTCATTGGTGAAACACTTTATCATGGGCCTTGTAGTGAGCTGTATCAGACCAAAATGAAGGTAATTGCATTTTTATCAGTCCAGATTTAATTAAAAGTAAACATTAGTTGAATTGTGTAAAATTTTTGAATGTAATTACATGTTACTTCTTAAAATGTAGGGTGGGGGTTTAATGCCTTAATTAAGGTAACTTTATTCAGACCTGTGGTTAGCCCCACATTGTACTTTTATATGTGTATCTGCACTCTGTATTTTGAGACATCATGAACTGCACACTAATGTAAAAATGTAAAATATTTCTAGATTTAAAATAAATCACTGTACAATTTTATTATTGTAGTGAATCTTGGGAATTGTCTCACTGCTGTTTTCCTGAATGTGTGAAAGATGGCCTAGAAGATTATCTCTTTACTTCCTTCACTAGGATAAGTGGTGTTGGAATGGAACAAAATACATTCTTAGGTCTACAGATTCTCTCTGCAGTCTTACTCTATTTACTTATAGCTGCTGCCTAATTTATTTTAATCACTACTTCATTTCTGGTAAATTCAAAGGCTTCATCAGTCATCACAATTCATCACAAGCTTTAGGTATCCATAAGCTGCCTTGATGGGATACATTTTCACAGGGACATGCCCATCGCCTTGTTTGTAAGTCACGGAATTTCATGTATCAGAATGCTGTGAATTCCAGAACAAAATTTTGTTTGCTGATTTTTGGATCAGCGTCCACTTTGCACCAACTTGAAGCCCTCTTCAGCTGAATTCTATTCCAGGTAAGGTAATAAACTGCTATATGATAAATTGCCATCTGTAGAAGTAGGAGAAATGACACTGTTACAAAGTGTAAAAAGGTGCAAAAAATGGCTGTTCAAACAGCATGTATAGCCTTTTCAATGCTACCAGTAGGGGGCTTGGAGGAAAGATGGGTTATTTGGCAATAGAAGTGGTTACCCAGGATATTGAGAAGGCTGAGGTATTAGTGACTGACAGTGCACTGGCACAGGCTACCTGGAGAAGCTGTGGGTGCCCCATCCCTGCAGGCATTCAAGGGAAAGTTGGATGGGGCTCTGAGCAACCTAATCTGTGGTGGGTGGCAGCTTTGCCCACAGCAGGGGAGATGGAACTTGGATGGTCTTTAATGTCCCTTCTGACCCAAGCTGTTCTGTGTTTCCATTAAATCAATGTGACAGTTTCCAAGCTTTTCAGACCATGGTCTTTTAGAATCAGAAGCCAGGCATAACATATTCAACAGTTAGAACTTTTACTCGTTTCTAGTACAGACAGTATACAAGTTGGCAGAATCTCTAATTAGAACCATAAATGTTTTAGGCCAGTGGTAACGATCGTGCAGCAGAAATAAATCACACAAGACTATGGATTTCATCAACAGGTTAGAAAACCAGAGCTGCCTACACTTGCATTTTACTTCACTTGTGCCAGTACCTGCTTTAAGCAACTTTGACATTAATTCACATTCTAGAAGTAGTGAACAGTGCGTGCATCTCCTTAAATAACATTTCCCACTGCTTGTAGTAGTGAAGGAAGCAATTAAAAAGGAATCTGGCTAGGCAAATCCAGAGCCGTCTTCTACAAAGAACAGTTGTGGACAGCCATTCCTATTACGTGAAGAAGCAGGCTGAACACGTAACAGAAGGCCTTCCTGATATTAAAACACCTTATTAATCTCTCCTTTTCTTCCAAATGCTGTATTTGAGTTCCCAGATTTCTAATCTCCCAGGAGAAATCCACAGTCTGGTCAACTCAGGCTTAGACACCAAACTGAGAAGCCACATAAATATGATTGAGGCAATGTCCCAAATTATACAGTAAATGGGCATTCTGTATTTTGGGTCCCCTGCTCCAAATACAACAACTGCATCAGGTTACTCAAAGAGAAGGTCTTCGTCTTTCTCTTCTGCTAAGAGATTGGCTGGTTCACGTTCCCCACCAGCAGCCCTCCTCAGCTCCCGTTCTTTCTCGGATTTTTCTTTCAGTACCTTTTTCTTTTCCTGGATCTTCTTTAACCTGTGAAAAGAAACGTGGCAGATCTGTGAAAGCAACATGATGTTTCCATAAAACAGGCCAACAACAAAGATGCCATACATGTTGGCTACGATATAGCTGCTTGGAAAAGTTCACCAGGAAATTGTCACTAGATGCTGCCCTTAAACAACATTCATCATCTCTGCAGATTTACTTATTTACCCAAATTCTAAATGACATTCTTGACCATAAGCGAGTGTTGTATTATACTACTCTGCTCTTCTTGAATGAAGGCAGATTACATTTGTTTCATTTCAATTTTGACATCTTTTTCCCAGAACACTAGCTTCTGTGGCAGAGGTGTCCTCAAAGCAGAAGAACTCAGAGTACTGTATTCCATCATTCCCACAGGAGGAAAGATGAAGACAGCTGTGTACAACCCAGTGGTAGAGCTACATATGAAACTGTGACAAGTAATTGCAGCTCTTCAGTTGCCCAGCTCTGGAAACTCAGTGCACAGTAAGAATAGTGTTCTTTGCCTCATTTCTTGAATAATTTTCTGCTGTCCACCCTGAGGTACAGTCTATTTGTGAAAAAGAACACTCTGGTCTTGTTTTACATAGTTACCTGTAGAATTCCTCTCGCTCTCTTTCATCCAGTTCTGTGATGATATAGGAAAGAGTGCGCTCGATCCTGGGAATAATCACTAAACAAATATAAATCAGGAAGTTGATGGACCACTGCTACATTACCTGGGAAGTTACCATAATGCAGTGCACAGAGGATTATTTAAAGTTATTCTAGTAATTCTTTAAGGCTCTCTGGATGCCCACTCTGCCACCCCATCCAAATGTAATAAACACGTTGCTACGTTTCTACTGAAAACCACCACCAAAATGTTCTAAGTTATGCTAGGAAATACTGCAGAAGTAGTTATTTAAAACATCTTAAGACAGAGACAATCCCCTCTTTTGTTTCTAGTGTACATACTTAAAGTAGTAAATCACAGGTCAGTGGCAGACACACCAGAATACGTTTCTGTACTGAGAACCTGCAGAGCAAAGATTACAACTTCCTAGAACTTATCACCCCCTATACTCCAGCCCCTTTGCAGTATGTTTTATAGTAATTGTACTCAGGAGTTCTTAAACTGGTTTCAAATCATACTAACAAGCAATCAGTCAAAAGAAGAGTAGCTTCCAGGACTCAGCTCCCCATCCTGCACAGAGAGACAAAAGCACTGTACATCCCAAAAGGAAGAATACTCACCATGTTCAATTGCATTCACACGTCTATTTGTTATTTTAATGGCTTCGTCCAAAGTAACAAAGGATGTCTGATGGAATGGGAACAAATAACAAGATGAACTCAGCATTTCCATCTATTCTACACACAAAACCAAACATTGCTTGGAAGCCAAAGCTGCTCATTTTATAGACTACATTTTTGATAGAAGCAGAATTGTTTCTAGAAATGTTGGTGCTCTTACTGTTTGTTACCAGATTACGTCTGAACCCTGAACTCTAGCAGCTTCAGCTACAAACTACACTCCACCCACTTCCTCAGAATTTCTTCTTAGTGCTCTGGAATGTGAAGAGGTGGTATTGTAACTGTGTTTAGTGGCTGAAAAAGGGTTGAAATTTGTTTAAAAGCACTGGGACTAAAAGCCTATAATACAGCTGAAAGTAATGAGCTTACAGTCCATTGAGACTATACTTTCAGTTCAGAACTGAGAAATCGGAGACCCCCCACATTTTTTTTCTCCCATCAACCTGTAAGGAGGCCAGTTCCACAAGCAGCTCCACAGCTTTGGCATAGTTCCTCTTCAGCTTAGCTAGCTGTTCTCCACCTCTGGCCAAGCCAGTCAGCTCATAGCCTGAGAAAAAAACAACATCAGGTTTGTTGCTAATGCTACCATGGTTTATTCTTACTAGATAAAAAGCAGTATCTGCACTTTACAAACTAGAGGGATGCAGACAGCTCAGAAAGTGGCAAGGTAAAGCCTTTGCCTTCTAAGAAATCTATTTTCATAATGGTTTCTGCTACTACAAATCACTGTTGTCCATATCCACTCTAAGATCTGCCAGTTCAAAAACATAGTAAATAAGGTTTCTCCTCATCTGAAAAACTCACTGATTTAGTAAACTAAAATCCACTATAGCCCATATTTAATCCCTTAACGTTAGAGAAACAGTACAAAGCAAAAATAGCTTTGCAAACAGCAAAATGTGGAGAAAAGAAATATTGTTGTGCCCATGATGTAAGCTG